GTGCTGTGTCCCTTCAGGACGTAAGTGATCACGGCTCTCCACTTCTCCCTATCCCTTGTAGTTCTCAATATGTTTTGTCCTTTTGCTACTTCTCCCAAACCCTGTTAATGTCTGCTGCTGAATTTTCTTATTTATCCACTAAACATCTAACAGAAGCTTGTAATCTGTTTTGATCACAAACTCTTCTCCATCTAAGTAATAATGCAAATTTTGAAGAGTATACACTATCACAACAAACTCCTTCTCGGTTATAGGCAATCTTTGTTGGGTTGGTAATAGCTTATGAGACAAAATAAATTGATATTTCTTCTTTGATGCCCAGCCCATTCCATCCCATCCTCTCCTGGACAATGTTATGTTAAACATGTTCCAATGCATGTGTCACTGGCATCAGTATATAAAATCATTGACTTGCTTAATCAGGCTAAGCTAATATAGGCACACACCTTTTAATTTTTAATGTGTTGAAAGAATGTGGGCAACCTTTTAGTTCAGTTAAATCTGGCATACTTCTCTGCTAAGTTTATCAAAAGTGTAGTGATCCTCAAATAAACCTTTGATAACCTGTGACTTCAATGAACTTCTTAACTTCCTTCACTATATGATCTTATTACCTTAATCTTATCCATGCCTAGTTTCTCTCAGCTCTTATTGATAATAAAGCCTAAATAATTAGTTTCATCCTTAAGAAACTAACACTTTGGCAGCTTTAGTTTCAGACTGTTTTCTTAGTCAGTGGAACATAGTTTGAAAATTACAAAAGTGATCTTCTTGGAAAACACCAATATATCAAGGTATGCCTTGGTGAATTCTTCCAGTCTGTCCAACATTATGGATAGCAGTTGTTGGAAAACTCTGGATGCACTAGCCAAATGAAAGGCATCACTTTGAATTGGTAAAGTCTGAGGTGGCATGCAAATGCTGTCTTTTCCCTTTCATCTTCATCTATGATTGGCAACAGATAAACCAGAGATTTGCTGATCTTATATTAGTTGACACAAAATATCTGTCCTCAATCCTTCTTATCCATTATTACTATCTGATAACTCCATGATGAGTATGATCTTTCCGCAATTCCAGCATTCAATATTTCTTGAACTGCTTGCCACACTAAATCACTTGATCACACATGGAACACACCTAACCTTTTCTCCCTGGAGTGGGGATATAGTTTTCTTTCTAGATTGACCAGGCATCCCTTCTGTTTGCCTCTTTTTCCAAATCTCTCTTCTCTGAGCACTCTGTTCTTCCATGCGCCCTTTTTGCTTATTTGAAGAATACCTTTAGTTTTTCTTTTAGTCATGAGCCTTCAGCTGACCTCTCTCACCTGTCCCAGTCTCTCCTACAGAGTTAAACTATCTTTTGCTAACATGAATGCACTGTCTAGTGTATCTGGACTATCCCTTGCTACATCTTCCCTTATCAATGGATTCTGTAATGTGTCCATAAAGAATTCTGCTGATTTGGGCTCAATTACAGGATTACTCCATTTCTCAGAGTTTACATAGACTATCTTTGCTAAATCCAACACTCCACACACCAGCTATGCTATGGACTCCCTATCTTTTTTGCCTCACTCCAACAAAAGACTTTCAGCTTCAGTCATACTAGTGAAACTTCTAAACTGTGTACCAACCTCACATTCCATCTCATGCCAAGTTGGTCTCTTACTTCTTTCCAAGAACTCCTCCAGCCACTCCAAAGTGGTGCCCATCAAGTGATTATCTACCAGTGCAACCATGTTTTAAATGGATTGCATGCGTTCTGTTGTTTATTTTTGGCTTTATATCAAGGGCAAAGATCCGTGGCCTTACCTATAAATGTGGGCATTTTCAATCAAATTATACACAATTTGACCATCAAAACCAAGATGAAATGAAAAGATGCACAACTGAGCAGGAATGGAAAGAACAAGTCCAAAAGCAGGACATATTTGTCAAAACTTCAGGGCTCAACATATTTTTAGCTTCTACTCACAGTTGCTTGGGTTTTGTGTTCTTTTAGTTGCTGGATCTTGCTATGAGATTGTTTGGGGGTTTGTCTTGTGGCCAGTTTGTATTCTAGTCAAGTTTGTTCTCCAAGCTTTTTCTCAGGGTCACATCCTGCAATCGGAGCACCATTTATAAACATGTGTGATTCTTCAGGGTCTCAATCCTGACATCACTATACTATATATAAGCAGATATGTGGTGTGGGGAATTATTTGGTGTTCTCTATCATTCTCACTGCTACACGCATTTAAGATCATTACATTTTGGTGGGTCATTATGTACCTAACAAAAGTTGAAGAATCTTAAACTGTGATTTTCTGTTTGCTGCTTCAGTTGCCCCTCAGAAATAAAAACCAGTATTAGAGTATGATTGAAAAAATTTTACTTTTTGGCAAGCAGATAATGTTAAAGCTCTATTTGGTTTAGGCAATCTTTTGGTGTGAGAATATTTACAACCTGGGTGTATGTATTCTTCAGTTATATTCACATATGACAATGATTATTTTAATGACTTCCTGCAACTATTTATTCATAATATTGCTTTGGGCATTCCACAATTTTTTTTTCAATTCTAAAAAGCTATCTGCTACTACTGATGGCTACCTTCCACTTTCTCTTACTATCTACTTTGACTACAACTCTTGGCTACTTTTGATGGTTTAGATCTTAACTTTCTTAGTGACTGCAACAAATGACTGGACCCTTTTTCTTGGTTTTCATTCTAGCTTTATCACTAATATGGACAATGCATCTCCATACCCTGTTTTGTTTGCTCTATGGTTGCTGCCTGCAGGTACTGGCTTTTATAAAATATCTAGCATCATCATTTTAACCTTGCAGGTGTTCTCAAGATGCAAAATTTCTATTGTTATTAGCTTGAACTTCCACTTTCTTTTCTAGACCCAATTACCTGTCAACACTCATTGAATTCATAGGATAAAAAAACAAAGAAAGTTTCACCAATAAAACATTTTGTCTTTGAGAGTAGTAGTGACATAATTATCTGCTTTTAATTTTTCCTAACCAAAGTTGCATCAACGCATACTGATTTCATAAATGTTGCATATATTATTTATTTTAGAATGTTAGTAGAGGCAAAATGAAAGATTAATATATTTCCTGCTAAATAGGAAAGAAAAATATATTTTTAGTTCTCCAACCAAGTTTTGGTAGACACATTCAACTTTGATATATGTTTAACCCTTGGGTTTACCCAAATGTGTACTTCTTGCAATGTAAACTTATAGTCTGATGTTCTCTTTAATCTTCACTTTATGATTCTAATTAATATTTTTGAACTGTTCTTTCTTTATTTTAACCTCCTGTTGATCTATGCTTTAATTAGTATTTTTCTTAATCTATTATTTTAACCTTTCCACTGCTGGAAATCATTGCTTGCAATTTTCATGTACCAAACTTCAAAGTCATTACTTTGTTGCTCAGAAACCAACATTTTTTTTTTTTTTTTTTTTTTTTTTTTTAAAGTATTTTAGTTAGATTAGTTTGTCAGTTCCTGTTAAAATTAAATGTGTATGGCCTGCCTGAGCATGCCTTGCTCAGACAGGCATCTACAAGCTGAAACAAGGTGATTTAGAAAGTTCGGTGAATCTCTATCTATAAAAGGCAGGATGTGTGTGTGTGTGTGTAATGAATGCACGGCCACAATTTTCGACGGATTTGCACCAAAATTTACATGCACATGCTCCAAGTTAGTAGGAAGGCCAAGACCGACTTTGCATTTCCCAACTCCCATCGGTAGTGGAAATAATCAATTTTTTCATGCTTCTACGGCAGTTTTCATGTAATTTTGCGGCCATTTTGTACTGGCCAGAGTGAGAGCCTATAGCTGGCTGCCACAGATAGGCAGGAAGATTCTATTGGCCAGCATGAGAGCCAACAACTGACTGACACGAATGTTAACTAGCATGCAAAAAAAAGTGGGGAAAATTTAAATCTGCATGGCAGTTTAATCCAGTTGACTCATTCACTTGCTTAAACTCAACATTGATTCTGATTCCACAGAACTGGGTTGGGTGTGAAAAAGTATTTGTTAACATTCTTTTTTTCATTCGGTTTTTCCAGTTACGAGTCTTTTGTTAAAGCTGATTGTTTTGTGTTCATTTTTTTTAGTTCTTTTTTTCGTAACATATTTAATGTTTAATATAGAGCTTAGAAAAAATTTGCAGTGTGAGATAGGCAAGAAGACAAGTAGCAACATCAGCACAGCAAAGGGTACTCCTTTAAAGGCAAGGAAGGGCAAAAATATTTTAAGTCAAGTGATAGCGATTGCTGTATGAGTCGTATGATTTTTGAATCAAGCACAGGCAACGCCGAGCCATGCTGCTAGTACTCATATAAGACTATTGTCAAACAATCCAGGAAATTGCTCACAAAGTACAGCACAGGAGCAGTGCACTCCATTTAAACGGAGGATTTGTATTGGTGAAATTCACCACCCACATAATCCAAACTTTCTTTGTCAAGAAAAACACACCACTAGTTTGATAGGCTCCTTGCTCTTCTGACTTTGACACCCTGTGATTTCTGGTGCTTCTGTGATCTGAAAACCTAACTGAAAGGCAAGTGATTTGAGTCACAAGAAGAAATTATAAGAAAAGTCATAGTGCAGCACCCTAACCTTCCAGAGAAGGTGTTCCACATGCAGGGGCAGAACTGCTAGGTGTGTGAATTCCCAAGCGGAGTATTTTGAAGGTGATCTTTCTTTCTGACAAAAGGTTGGATACCTCTTATATAGTCTAATTCTTTTGGGAGTGTATTTTGTTAGATGAGTGTTTTTTTTTGTTTTTTTTTTGTTTTTTTTTTAATAATCATTTCATTGTATGCCTACATAAAATGACATTTTATTCTGTTGACATTACCACTTTGAGATCTATAGTTTGTTTCTCTCTTTGATATTTTGTTTTCATGATTTTATATTTTTATATATATATATATATCACATGTTTATTATAATATACCCTTATATAATGTAATTAATATTTTTTCCAGGTTGGTGATGAATTGGCCAAGGAATGTCAGCATGTAAGTTTATATTTTGAATTTTCTCTGCTACATTTAGAAGACTTTTAATTATAAAAAAAAAACTGCTTTTTGCATTCAAAGACAATGGAAGATTTTGAGAAAATTTCATAGTTGATGATTTTTAGTGGTGAATTTTCATTTCATTTTTATCCTTTCAATCACTGCATCAAAAAAAGTATTGTTTAAATTAAACTGCATTTAATCATCACAATCCTTTTTAGATGATAAAACATAATTAAGAATCTCTGAGAAGTTTCTTTTTAGTTAACTATTGTTACTGTATTTTTATTGAATCAATTGCTAGGTTTTCTTCAACAAATGTTGGTTCACTGTCGTTCTAGACAATTTTTTTATTGCCAAAATCTATTTTACACCTTTTATAAGTCTACTAATTGTCCATGTAGACATACAATGAAATAATCATACATAGCAGAAGCACCAGACCAGATGTGGCTGCTATTGCTGCCATATCTGGTCTGGTACTTCAGTTATGTATCAAGGGATTCTTGACAAAATCTAAAGAATCTGCAATGTTATCAGCTCTGTCCAGGCATCTCAACTTTAGTCACTTTCCCACTGTTGTACGTAGCTTCCCTTTCTTTTCTATATAAATAAAAATTAAATAACTTGTTTAAAGTTAAATTTAATATCAGAGTGAAAGGTTTAAAAAACACTTTACCAAAGGTTTAACTTTAATTTCACTTTGTCGCAATTGATATCTAATTAAACTAATTAAAACTGGTTGTAGTATGTTGCTCATGTTTTTTTTTTCTAACATGTGTACTGTGATGTATTTGAAATGTTAGATAGTTCAGGTTCCCTAATGTCTTTTAAGAGTGACTTTATGTGAAGGGTTCATAAAGAATGGTGATTTTAAAAGAAAATAAAAATGTCATGCAAAATAAATGTAAACAAACTACGGAGATTGGTTGCATATATGAAGAAAGATTATGCAGAATTAATGATTTTTATGTACATAAGGTAAAAGACCCCCCCCATAAAAAAAAAAAATAAAAAAGTTTAAAGTTTGTCCAAAGGGAGACTTCTAGGCTAGTCTATAAATATTTTCATGGTAATTGTTCTGATGCGCTTTCCATTTTGGTACCTTGACTTTACAAATTTAAGCATAATACTAGATTAGCAGCTAGCTCTCATCTTTTTGTGGAATAGTTGGCCATGTTTAAGTGTAATGCTCAACAAATGGAATTGACAAAGTTTTCAATAAACAGTAAGAAAGGGAAGAAAAAGAACAGGAAAAAAATAATACTATGTAAACAATATATATGCAAGTCAGAGCAACAGTAATAAGGTAAAAAGTTCACAAAATAAGAATATTGTTCTCTCACACATACAGTCAAGTGATTGTAGTTTTCTGGCTTCAAGACAAGAACAAAAATGAGATGAGACTGAGAAGTGGACCATTTTATTGTTAGGAAGAAATCCCAGCATTCATCTGTAGGATTTATTTTTAGCAGTCATTGTCTTTGAATTGGAACCAACAATTTTATAGTTGAAATTTGCTACATGTAACCATAAGTTATAGGCTAACAGCTACTTCTCTTGCACTTAAATGTGAAATTTTCTTCTGACCTCTTGCTTTCAAGTTAACTTTGATCTTCAAAAATCTAAATGCACTGTCAAATGTCACCTTCTCATTGAATACTGTTCATTTATTGTCCTCTCTCAATGTTTTTTTTTTCTTGAACTCTTTCACACTCAAGAAAATAAAAAAAATAAAAAAAAAAAGTAAATGCAAATTTAGAAAAAATACAAACCACAAAGTTCTTTGTCTTTTCCCAACCCTCTACATTATTTTGCTTCTCTGCATAAAAGCTGAGAAAAGCTTGCATGTTCATAAGTAAATGGAAGGTGAAATCCAACGCTGCAACAAGAAATGAAAATACAAATCCTGTTTTTAATAATTTGTTTTACTTGGCAAGTTTTCATTTGGACATAGTGTTCTCACTGTAGGGTACATGGGTTCCTTCATCTCTTCTTACTTCTGCTGAGTGACTGCTACTGGCATGACTTTGGCTCACTCTAACCGGGACTCTACATGTGCAAATGGAAACTTTTGACTTCCAGTCAATTGTCACTTGATTTCACAAGTTTTTATTTATTTTATTCTCCTTTGGTCAAATGGGATGCTGCTTTGGATCCCAAACTTCCAAGACTTTATCTTCTGGCTATAAAAGCACCCAACACTTCAAGCTCTGATAACATTGTTTAGAACACCCTTAAATTCACGTGTTTAGCTAGTCATGTGGGGGTGACCTATTGTGCTATATCTCAAACTTTTCAGATCAAAGTTCAGGTTTAGGTCAATACCTGCTTTATAAATAGACACTCTCTCCTAAACTTTCTTACAGACCAAGACAATAAGGAGGAGGAAGATGACCTAATAAAAAAAAAAACTTATGGCTTACAGGGATTAGAACTTAAATACAAACATAGCATGACTCACTTGACCTTAAAGCATCTTAAAATGTAATCGTGCCAATTTCTACTTTTAATAGCATTGAAGCAAAATTTATCTTGTAGTTAAAATCTTATTTGTCTTAGAATTAATTTTTTCAATTAGTTTTTAATTGTCAATAAAATTACTCATGCAACTTTTAAGTGATATACTACATAGTTACAATAATTGTGACAATTGCTATTACATTAAACTGTCATTATGCTTGTGAACAGTTAATTGTGCTGTTATAAAATCATGTAAATATAACACCCTTATTTTTTGTTTAGTTGCTTATGTGTTTAGTAAAATTCTGATTTTCATCCATCAGCCGATGGAAATGTTTTGTGTAGTATTCATTTATTCATACTGGATTTTATCGGGAGTCATTTTTATGAATAAATTAAGAGAGAAAATGTGGACTTTAAATATGAAATATAACTACTTAAAGTAGCTTGTTTTATTTGAATGTTTGAAAAATTCAAGTTCAACAGTTATGATCTTGTTGACAATGATTAAAAGAATTCTTGCAAGATTGTAAAAGGATTTTTTTAATAGTTTTAATGCCAAATTATATTAACTAATGTGAAGGCTATAAAAGATAGTTAAATGTAATTCACTATTTACATTATTCAGACTATTGTCCTCATCTTTGTCGCTATATTTATTACAACGTTTTGGTCATTGTACACTCCGGCCTTCTTCAGGTGGTTGGAATGTCAAACTGAACCCATTATTTCAACATTCCAACCACCTGAAGAACATCAGAGTATACAACACCCGAAATGTTGTAATAAATATGACGACAAAGATGAGGGCAATAGTCTGAATAATGTAAATAGTGTACATAATACCTCATCTCAGAAATATAGACAGATATTAAATGTAGTTATTAGTAAATATTTAAAAATATAAAATCTAATAAATCTATTAAATTTGCAATGATATACTAAAAATTATAAACCATTCATACAACTGTACATGTACAAAAAATAAATTACTAAGTTTCCATATGAATAAATACATGTTTACTACAAGCATTAAAATTTTCATATACAAACTTATTAGACACTGATATATTTGATGTTAGTATACAATAAAAATAATTTATTTTTTAATAATACAATGATGCAGCCAATAGAATTACTTGAAAATCTGGGCTTGAAAGTAATATTGTCCTTGGGATGATGGAAAAGTAGTTTTGAACCACTGGTTAAGTGCTTTGGGTTGATGGGAAAATTTTAATTGAATTTCTGTTATATTTATTCTAAAAGCCAACTAATTTTTAAAACTTTTTACTAGGCTTTTAGTAAATGGTGTGTGTATGCATGCACACAACTTAAGTGCCTCTTTTTAAACTGGTGAATTAGACCTAAATAAAAAAAAAAAATGAGGGTTGAAAGATTTAAATTTAGAAATACTTCTATTAAATCTAAATGAGAAAACCATTAAAGTCGCTTAGTTTACACTGAAAACGTGTCAAAATAATAATTTCCTTCAATTTCAACTGCTGATACCTCCTTTATTTTCAAGACCATTTTGATAAAATTAGTATGTAAACAAAATGTAATCTTTTCTTAAAGATATGTTTCTTTCTCTTGTGTGATGATTTTTCTTTTTCTGTCTCTTTAAATTATGTCACTATTTCAACAATAGAGCTTAAGATATGGGCTAAAGTTGGCTTTCACACACAAAAAAATTCTAATTTCAAAAGTTCAGTGGATGAAATACCATAGAAATTCAACACTTAAAAAAAAAAAAAAAAATGAAAAAAAAAAAAAAAAAAAAAAAAATCTTGAAAATATCAGTCTTAGGTACCTAAATGAAAATGTCAATCTAAATTTTATTGAATCATGTTATTATTGGTTTTTTTTTATTTTATATCTGTAAAAAAACAGATCAGCGGAACTAGTAAATTAGACAATTTTTAGCACGTTTTTTTGTATACATTAATTTGAAAAATCGCGTAAAAATAGAAAAAAATGTTAAGAAACTTTCAGGAACTATTACAGATGATCAAATTATTATAAATATGTTTTTTTTTTGAAAGATCTAAAATATTTTTAAAATTTTTTTTTTTTTTGTCGGTTTTAGTGATTCCACAGGGCTTTGAGGAATGCAAAATGTTTTTTTCTTTTTCATTCTCCCTGAAAATCCCTAACATACAAAACTCAATAAGACAAAGATATTATTTAATTTCAAATGCTTTTTATTTCTTTTAGTTGTTTTTATGAATTGACAATATTTTTGAAAGCAAAAAAAAATTTTTTGATGAAAATGAATTTTAATACAATTATTTGTTATTTCATTAAAAATAGATTTTACATTTAAGTTTTAAAAAAAAAAATATTAGTAAATTGATCTTTTTTTCTCGTTTAAATTAATTAAAATCAGAAGATCCCCAGTAATTAAGAAATGTAATTTTAAATGTAAATAAAATATGGTCATTCATTAGTTATTTTTGAGCATACTTTACTACTTTGAGAAACATTGAGGATAATTTGATTTTTATTTAAATTCAGTATCATCTTTGAAATTTATATGA